CATACTGTGTGATTTATCCCTTGTGCCTTCTCTCCTTTTAGCCTGGCTGAATAGTTCTATCTGAACTGAAGCCCTTGATTTATTCACAAAGTAGGGAGCTCTCACACTGAATTATTCTCTCTGGCCTGTAATGTTTGCTTGTGTTGTGGGAGAGTCTGTACTACAAAAGACAATTGTCTTATGTATAAATGACCATTTGCTTTTGTAATAGATATTCTTCATACGTAAAATTATACATATGTACATATTTTTCTGATTGCTGTACATTAAAGTGGAACATTTTTTCATTAATTAAATGTGCAGCTATATACTGTTTACTTCTGAAAGCACAAACATTGGCTTTACTATGAATCAATACAATCTCATTGCACAAAACTTTTAAGAATTTGTTTCATGTACTATTGTTATGACATCATGTGTCTTTAGATTATTTAGCTTCATGCATGTGTTTAGTATACTGATCTAGATGGAATTGCTGAAAATTGAATTAAAATATGAATATATGGAAAAAACCAAACTGATTGCCAACAACAACAACAAAAAAATTACATTACATGTTGACTCACTGACCATCAGAAATGAATATGTATATCTGCTTAGAAGTGAATCTGCTTTCATGACTGGAGACTGATAGCTCAGCAGGAGGAGGAAGCACATGGGAACTGCTCACTCACAGCAGGCAGCAGCAGCTGGTACACAGCAGCTAAGGAGATTGCAGAGGGGTTCCCACCACAATGTGCAGAACAGAACCATGACCACCTAATCTGCAAAATACCTCCTAAGCATAGACTCAGAGGGAGTTCTCAGACCTAAAAACCCACTACCCTTATTTGGAAAGGCTTTTCTCTGTAAAAATCTTAAGCATATCACAGAGATCACAGTCCTGCCCTGCTCTAAAAAAGAGCCAAATCCCTCTTTCATTCTCAAATAAGATGTTTGCCCATTTGTCAGCAGCATATTTTGGTCAGAGATTTGGGTACTACAATATGCCAACCAATTGTTCAAAAAAATGCAGCATAGAAAAGGAAATTAAATTCAAGCTTTTACACTATTAAATTTACTGACATCTGGGACAACAGCTACAAGTCATCTTCTGCTATCTTTGCATAAAAGCTGCTTACTACTTTTATTAAACATTGAAAATAATTTAAAAATGCAAGATAAATAATGTACTGATAGTTTAAAAAAGGAAGAACTTTTCCATATCACTAATAAATTTTACTTGATGTGCAATTTGTATTCGAGATAAGGTTTACGTTAGGATATATCTTGCTCACTGATCCAATTGTAATTGATGTTTACATCAGCAGGAGATATATTCTCAATATGGATGTTCTATTTTCTTCCATAAACCCCTCCTTATCCATACAGCACCTCAGAATTTCTTTTTACACACAAATATTAATACAGATTCTACAGAACTTACTTTCTCCATGGTATAAGAAAGACCATTTGGAGGGGTTAAGTGACATTGTATTACTCAGTATAGTAAAGATCAACTGCAAGGTGAGCTGACCAGTACTGACACTATAGTAAATAAAAGGGAGAAAATGTATTGAACCTTGCAGCATATTAAAGGGGAAATTTTTAGAATGCAAAGTTAGACCTTGCTACCTGGAAAGAAGACTCAGGGTTGATGAATGCATATAAGTTTTACAACTATAGGTTTAGGTCAGTTGGTTGTATGCTTTCAAGTCTTCTAGCTGATAAACATTCTTCTTCAACAATCCTATTATAGGTAGAAGTGGAGAAATTAAACATATGTTGCTGAAACCCATCATGTTTAAAATCTACAGAACAGAAAGAAAAGGTTTAGTCTCAAACAGATTTACATATACATTTGACACTACTTCTTACTTTATCAAATGAAATGGATTTTCTTTGTAGACGATAAAACCAAAGAATACATTTGGAAACCATTTTTGATTTATCATCTAGATCAGACATTTTCTTAACAAGACACTGCACAAAAGATTCCAGCACTATACCACTTTACTTCCCTCCAATACAAAAAAAATATTTAAAAATTTTATGCTTTGGGAATACAAAACCTTTAATTAGAAATCATCAAGTCAACAAATGAAAACATTTATTTTATATGCATATTATATTCTCTATCTGCAAACTGATTAGTTGTTGCTAGTTAAAAAAACCCATGCCCGAACTAATATTTCAAGTCCTTTTTTTCTGCACATAATACTAAATCAAACATGAATTCTGAGTATTGAACAACCCGTAGACAAACAGTTAAATAAAGGTCATATAATATTAAAGGAAATAATTCAACAAGATGTCAAAAAAAATTTTTCTCCCAAACATAAGTTAAGATTGGAGTTGCTGGCTGACTAACTATTTGAGTTATTTCTTTAGTAAGCACATTTTTATAAGTAGCAGTCTGAAATACAATTTATTTCATTGTATGTGGTCACAAGTCACCGTTTCCTTTCATCATTCTATTAAAAAATTCCTTATTGGAATAGTCACAGAAGTTAAAGGAAAACAAGACTTTCTGTGGTCTGTTATTATCTAAAAAATAACTTGTTTTAGGGCATTGTTTCATCTTGCAGACAGAAACCTAATGTCCATTGATAGGTAGAAGTCAGTAGAGCCCAATCTGGAAATAAAAAGTAATTTTTGATGGTGAGGACAATTAATTATTGCAACAATTTTTCAAGTGATACAGTAATCTTTTTCATGACTTGGAACCTTTAAATCAAAATGGGTGAGTTTCCAAAAGACAATCTGTTATGCCTCTGTGGGTTACTGTGTGCTATGGGAAAACGGAATGAAATCTCTGATCTTTTTTGTGCAAGTCAGACGGCGTTATCTTAATGGCACCTTCAAAATATATCAGTGTATTCATTTAGCCTTCTAAAATTCAAACTAATATTAATAGGTCTTTTTTAAAAAAATATTTCTGTATTCTGGTCTAAAAATGACTGTCATATTTGTGACATTGATAAAAGCAGCATTCAAACACCGTAATTTTCTTTGTTACAATCACTCAAATGCCAAACAGGGATTGGCTTTTGCCTTCTGCCTTGTTGTTGTATCAGCCACAGGTAATTTGTAAATAACAGTGACTTGGTATGCCAAAGTTTGTCCTTGTAACAAAAAGGAGACAGCTGAAGAAGGGAGGCAGGAGAAATTCTGCACAGTCAATGCCAGTTTGGGGATCTGTCGCTATCAAATTATCATTTCCATTTTGTCTTGTGATTGTAACTTTCATGGTGAATTAGAGCATTCATTCTGCAGCAGCATCTTGACACATAGTGAGGGAATCAAGATAGTGTGTGACAGAGCAATCAGCAGCTGAGCTGAACCAGTGCTGAGGCGCTGCTCTTTACTGGAGCAATGACATCCAGGCTGTTAGAGCCATTGACTGTGAATTGATGCAGAGGCAGTGCAGGGACAAGGATGGCAAAGGTTTGGAGCTGAAACCTGGACCTTCCCTGCCCACTTCAACTTCTAGCATGCAATCCAGATGGTACAAGAGAAAAAAAGATCTTCCCTGAGTAAGGCAGGCCATCTAGCAGCAAAGGTAATATGATCAGGCAAAGCACCACAGGGGATCTGCTTGATCTGAGTCAGATGCAGATCAATCTTAAGAGTCCCAGGTGTAGCAATATCTAGTCTAGACTGCAAATCAAGAAAATAATGTTCTTCATACAATCAATGTTATTGCAAATATGCCCATTAAAGAAGATAAGATGTTGAAGAAAGGTTTCATTTTCTGTCAATTCTGTAATTAATTTTGCTCCCTCAGTGATGGCAATGAGGGGTTTTTGTCCCCTTTAATTGTGACAAGAAGCAACTAATTTAGCTATATTAATCAGAACACATTACAGCTCACGGCTGGAGGGAAGGAAAGTTTCAAAACTAAAAAATGGCCAACTGCTGTGTAACATTCTGTCTTTTGTCTGTTGGTGTAACTGGAGAACCCCATCCTAATTATGACTGGAGCTTTATATAGTCAAATATACATGTACTTGAAGTAGCTTACTTGCATGCTTCTGTTCTGCCCATTCTTTCTAAAAAAACCACCATTACATATGTAAGATAATTATTCTAAAGAAACACTTAGAATAGTGTATCATCAGAGCTATTTTTATTTTGAGCCAAGTCATCTATGTCATTTCTTTATTACCTTTGTCAATTAGGTATTAATTGGGAATTTAGCATGTGATATACAGCAAAATGCTTGAAATAATAATTTTTAAATACTAAATTTAAATTTAAATAATAATTTTAAATAATATTTTTAAAATAATAATTTTTAAATAAAATTATTATTTAAATAATAATTTTTAAATTTTTTTAAATATTTTAAATAATAATTTTTAAATTATTAAATAATAATTTTTAAATATTTAAATTTAAATATTTTTTAAATATAAACAGATGGTGACTGTTGAAAACCATATATAAATAAAATGTAAAATAACTTATTAGCCAGAAAACTTACCTCATAAATTACTTTGCTACCAAAGTTGCTATCTATAGGTTTATTTGAAATTAATTTTCTAGCAACTGTGATTTGCAATTGTATAATATTAAGAATTACAGATGAGTTTCTCTAGTTTCAGCTAAAGATACTCCAGTAAAGACATCAAAGTCCATGAAAATCTCTTCCTCTTAGGTGTATTAATAAAAAATAATTATTAAAGGAATGTGCAGGTAGATGGTATTAAAAGATGAAGACCCAATCCCCTGGGTTGTGAAGCACAGCAGTCTTCCTTGTTTCATTGAGTCATACTACATTTCAGTAGTTACAAAAGCATTGCTGTCCAATTTCTTTTTCCTTCTGCACTATATTTCTCCCTGATACATCACCACTGAAAGCAACATTTTGCCAGGGATATACAGGAAATCATCGCCACTGAAAACTGTGGGTTTACATTTTAAAACCTGATTTATAAACTTTTATGTCTTTCTCAAGTTTCTTAGCAATATTTCCACTGAGATCTGAATATAAACTAGTGCCATTTTTCTGGCTGCAGAACGAGAAGCAAAGGAAACTCTCTTCCTTGGATCAAGAGTCCCTGCTAAGGAGACCATCCATTCAACTGGTTTGATCAATGAGCCATTACAGAGGTAACTATTTCCTTTTTTAAAAGTGACAAATTCTTAAACTATGCAAAACCAATGCACCATTATACCCAAGAATACAAATAAGCAGAAGTATATGCGAAGAAAAAAAGGCCATTTTAATATCATAGTCTTCTAGCCCAGTCAGTGCCTGCTTGCATTTTTTCTACTTTTAAAAGTAAGAAGACAAAAGTGAAAGTTGATGGTGTTTGCTGGTTTGTTCAGGAAATTAATTATCTTTCATATATCACAGCACAAAAGACCTTTAGTATAATGAATGCACTAAATTATTTCTGAACAATTCCTGAATTATTGCACATCTGATCAGTTCAGTATAAAGAAGAGGCACAACTTGCATTTTTGGGTATCAGGTCTACAGTTCAACCTCACACATTATAAAATATGTTTTCCTGTCATTATTCCTTCTCTTTAACATATTCCTACGTAAGTATGCTATTGGCATCTAACACTTATGTATCTGATGTGGAAACAAAAGCTTTCATTGTTAATGCTGTTTTATTGATCAGGTTGTATCCTGACCGGGTCAGGCTTTTTCTGTGTGCAGTAGGTTTGTACCAAAAAACATCATGCATCATCACTCATGAACTTGTGGGCTGATCTCCCTGGAACCCAAAGTGTTTGTCTGCTGAGAACTGGATCATCTCCCTCTCAGATTTCTGAAAGAACTCTACATGAAGTTAAAAGGGTGATATTTTAGACAAAAACTAACAAATGTGATACTATTTAATTATGAATTAAGGAAGGGAAGACAGAAAGCTAAAAATTTAGATATAAAGTGTAAGAGGGTTGAAATTCATTGTGGGTTTACCAAAACTATAACCTAACAAGATGAAAAGGTATACCTCATAGAGAAAAGAAATACACTAGACTTAATTTTCATGAATCAAAGACTACCAAAGAAATGGAAAGCCTTGTCTTTTGAAAGCAGTCTTTCAAGCATGGCTTTTGAGGTTGAAAGGAAATATGGTTACTGCCTACAAAAAAAAAAAAAAATCATTGTATACATGCCAGTGATAGAGAAGAGTAATTTAAAGATATGATATATTTAAAGAACATTCACTGGTGCCAAAACCCATTTAGAGCAGAAAAGAAACTTTCCAGCTGTCAGAACTTCTGGGTCTATCTTCCAATAGAAGAACATGTGGAACTAGGCTTCTGGGAAGGTCTTTGCATTCCTGGAAGGACTAAATAATGCAGTCTCTGGAGAAGCAAAGGGTTCCACTTAGTGGCTTAGGGGCTTTCTAGTTTTAGTCTCTGAAGAGAAAGAGAAAGAGAAAGAGAAAGAGATTGTGCAAAAGATGTGAGCCTCTTCTAAATGTCTCTTACTCATTTTCATTGTAATTGTAAAAAATTGTAAATATTCCTTCACACGCACATACTTTATAAATTTTCTAGATACTTCTAAATTGAATTCAAGGCTTTCCTTTCAATCAATTATCCCCGCCCCCCCCCCCCCCCCCCCCAACAAAAATCATCCAGTGTAAGTATCTGAAGGAATTCTTTATTTTAACTGAAATCTCTTGTGTAGCACCTATACTTGCATGAGTAGGAAATAGAGGTTCAGTTGGTGGAAGATCTGGTGAATGCAAGATTTACCACCATTATAGTTTTCAGTCACTGGGGCTGTCCTGGCTTTATTGTTAGTGATGAAAAGTTATCATTTCATGGGCTTTTTTCAGATTCCAGAAATGAACTGTAACTAATTCACCAGCCAGAAGATTTTGTCGGACAGTAAATATGACCTAGTTGTGTTGCTTGGCCTTTAGCTGACTTCTTACTCTATAAAGGTACAAAACTTTGACCCAAGTTAACTAGCAGGTTGTTGTTGAAGGTGCCGTTCTTTTGTGCTAGAGCATATGTAAAATGTCTGTCTTCTGGACAGTATGTTTCCTGAACTGAATTCCACTGTGGGAGATGTGAAGTCTGCAGTACCAGCAGCTGATAACATGTGAGGGTAGTGAAAGATATTCCTCAGTATGGCATCCCTTTCCTGGTATAATTGGCAATGAATGGGTGCAATAATTAAAGAATCTCAACAATTTCAGACAGAAGGATATTTTTTATGGAATTTTTTTTGTGGTTTTGTAACTGTGACATTATCATATGTGAATGTTATGCAGTGTGGGCCTCATGTGACACTATTAATATTATTATTAGATGGATTATACTTTTGCCTTCAGCTTTGTCCCCTACCCCAAATAAGACCCCATTACAATAGGGACCAGATAAACTTGTAGCTTGATGAACGTCAACCAAAAGGAAGTTCCCAGTTTTTCCATAGACCTTTACAAATTTCATTGTCTTTTCTAGTTTTAAGAACTTGTGCCAGAAATCTTTTTGCTCTGGAGACATCTTCCTTCCATTTGAATACTATTCTATAGTACTTTGAATAGGTTGGTTTTTAAGGCAAGTGGTGTAATTTGCAGTGCTTTCTTTTTCTCATGACATCTATTCAAATATTATTCTCTCTAGTTACCATTGCCTTCATCAATCTCAATTTCCTACTCAGCTTCTCTGTTTGTTACTTTTTAGCTGAGACAGGAGGGAAAAATAATTTTTTTCTATGATGACAATAACAGATATATAGCATTTCAACCATAATAAATTGCATAATAATATGTCCTATCCAAATAGTCCTAAATATTGTTAATTGTTTGATTTAAACAGATTCAAGCTTATTTCTCTTTCTTTAGCAAAGTCTCTCTAAAAACCAGCATTCCATGTCCTGGTAAACTTTTGTTTGAAAGAATGTATGTCTTTATGCAAATATCTTTCAAAAAGTGCTTGACCAAAGTGGCTTTAAAATTCACTTCACACATTCTGAAGCTATAACATTCCGACATATTAGTTCACTTGGGTTCTGAATGGTTCACGACTCTTCATTTTCCAGCAACTCGATGTTTATGGCATGTGCTCAATTGTTTTAAGGCATGACTAAAAAGTGTAAAACTGGTCTATGAAATCGCTAGTTCAGAAAAAATTCTCTGCTCTGATGAATTCAATAAGTACTGTGTATATTTACTTTCTCTGTCTATTACTTTATTTTTTTTTAAAACCTTTTGAGTGTTGCAGAATTGTAGGGTTGGAAGAAGTACTTAGAAATATCAATTTTCTGTATGCAAACTTCATGGTGCAGAAAGCACCTTTTTTTTTTTTTTTTTTTAATGTGGAAATGTATGTCTCTACAATAATTACAGCTCTGCAAAGCAATCCACATAATTTTACCTGCCTTGCCTCCTAAAGACCATTGAGAGAGAGGAAAGATGAGGAAAAATAGCCTCTCTCTATTAATCATCCTGCAGTAGGGAAAATAAAAAACTGGACAGATCACTGTAGTTTGGAGTTTGAGGACAAAAAGACATAAAATTCTACTTCCCTAGAATAGTACATACAAAAATCTCTTTCCTTCATAGGCTTCTTCAATCTGTACATCATGAAACCACATTGAAATAAATCTTTGAAATAAATTTCTCCTTTGGACACTAACAGCTTTTTCAAATAATCTGTTTTCCTTAATGATGAGAGAGGTACAAACTTTAAGAAAACCAGCAGATGTTTAATGGCCATTTTAAATTGTATTGACTGCATCCCGTTGAACTGAAGAATTGTATACATTAGAATTCTCTTGTATTACATTCTGGCTTTGCTGACATTCTCTGTAGTGGTAGTGGAACTTCCCTGATCATTTAGGTAACTTAGTAATGTGAGATATGTCAGATACCCTTTTTGACTTCAGCTCTCCCCAGTTGTGAGGAAGATATAATAATTAAAAACAAAAAAAAATTAAAATAATTATATTAATTGTAGGCTTTTTCTAAAAAAGCTGCTTTTCAGTTATATTAAAAGTGTTAACATTGACTAAATGGAGAAATAGATTTTCTCTTCATGATAGGTTAAAAAAAATTGAATGCAAATGCATTTTCAGTTTCAGTACAGGTAGAAAGTATGATGCCTAGTTTTACACAGCTCTGCTAAGCAGGTATGTATGCATCACTTGAAATGGTGTCTAATATTCCACAGATGGCAATTACTTGCAAAGGAATGGCTAGGGACTTAATTAAAAAGGCTGAGAGTTAGCAAAGTAAAATGCTGCAGAAGCACATGAAAAATCTATACATTATGCAAGGCACTCCATAGAATATTTAGGAAGCTAAAAGTGTCTTTTTACATTTTCCCTCCATTTCAGCACAAAAAGTTTACTGTAAAGTAAAGATTAGTTATGCCATGTTTAAAATTATATTTTAGCTAACTGAACCAACTACACAACAAAGCAAAATATATTTGACTGCACAATATTGATTTTACATGAAAGCACATCAGTTAGTAAAATGCAAAAACCAATAAAACATCACCCCTGGCTGGGATAGATATCTCTAGATAAAATTTATTTTTACAGTTAAACCAATTATTGGGCTTGTTGCATTTAAAAATGTGCACCATATATCCTTTCAAGGACTTTTTATTCAATCAAATCAATTGCATTGATCTCCATATTCCATATTAAACACCAATCTTAAATTAAAACTGACACATTTTGAAGGCCAAAGTACAAGTTTCTAAGCAGAAATAAATTCTATGAGGCCTTTCTTTGTGTGATTTTTATGCCCAAACATGAATACAAATATTGATTATGTTTTAACACACAATTTATGAGCTATTTCAATGCTTATTTCTTCCTAAAATTTGTTCAATAATACAAACTTACAAAAACGGAACGCTCCCTGAATTTTTTTATGTTGCATTGGAATATGATGATGATTTTCATAAATAATTAAATGACAGAATGGAAATAAATCCTTAGGCATAATTATTCCTGAAGAATCTATGACTAACAGGACATACAACTAACCTACCACTTGTTGAAATGCAGATACAGGGACAAGATTAGTTTCTTTTGAGCATGTCAGAACAATTAACATCGACCTTGAGACTGACCAAGTTGTTTTTGTTCCCAAATGGTACCTACAAAAAGAGGAAGCAAGACT